TCCCGATCATAAATCTGACGGCTGGAAATTGCTTCGCAACGCTCGACGATCCCGAGAAAGAGAACGATTTGTCCTATTCCGGACGCGCGATCCCCCGACGAATAATCCAGAAATAAATTCTCACCCGATCGTCTCCCCTTTCCCCTCTTCTTCCCTCCCTTTCCGCGTATACCACGCACAGCCGTCGCGGGAGAAAAATCTCGGTTAACGCCTGAGACCCGTGGAAAATGCTCCTTAAATGGTCTTTCTACCCACTTTCCCCCATTCGAGGCGGCTCTGTATCAGACCGAGGGTGCCGAATAAACGGCTACATAAAGTTTGCGATTGGCGCGCGCCGTAACTACCCCTCGTGCTGTACAAGGGGCGGTCAGCTCATTCGGACACACATATGTGCACTTGTTCAACCACCACCACCCCCCTTATTCATCGACGTGCCAATTCTCTATACCGCTTCTTTCACAAAGGGAACCAACATCATCCCTGTTATTTGCCTTGCTGATTACGAACGTGATCCGAGTCATTTATTTTTCGTTTCGAGATATTTCGATCGTCGTCGTTCTTGTACCGTACAATTATTCTACTAAAACACGTCAACTTAACGCTTTTCGTATTTCGATTTTACAACCTCGCTGCATTTCTTCCCCACCGACTCTATACCTGTTCGGTATAATTGAAGAACCGACGAAAAACTATCGAACGCAATAGTGGCTCGCGATTGCTCTGCAAAAAGCAATTCCGCAAAGTCGATAGAGGCGCACACACACACACACACACACCCACTTGCGTCCCTCGATCGTATCGTGCCCCTCCACCCCCTAGTCGGTTCGCGCAACTTGCGCTCGAGTTAATTTAACTTTCGCGATTCCACCGATCGCGTAGGTACTCGCGGCCCGAGGTAACGCGCGTTCCTATGAAACAGCCGGTAGAATGTGATGCACGTAGTACGGGGAAGAGGCTACGTGCTCCCCGTTGCAGCCGAGCAACCCCAAGGGCGAGGGGTGCTCGGGCACGAGAGCTCAATATATATTAAGATCCGCAAGCCCTCCGCTAGACTGAAAGTTCGTCCACCCCACGTAACCCCCTAAGTCTTCCCAGCGAGTCCCTTCGTCTCTCACCCACCGCTCGACCCAAGCTACACCATCGGAATTGCGATTATGGTGGCAATATTACGGTTCGTCGAGAGAGAGAGAGAGAGAGGAATCGCTTTCGTTGAGCAACGCTGCGGGGAAGAAGAGACGGAGAGAGAGAGCTTCTAGCCTTTTCCTTCTCGTTTCTATCCTCAAGATTCCCTTTCCTACAACTCGTAGCACGAGTCCGTTCACTCGCTCGCTCGCTCGTTCGTTCGTTCGTTCGTTTGCTCACTTTCTCGTAGAGCTTATTGGCTTTATTTCGAAACCGGCAGTTCATATCTATTTACTGGCGCGGCTGATCCACGAGGAAATAGAAAACGGCGAGACGAGACTGGTCTACCTGCTGCGGCCAGGGATTCTCGTGTTCCCTCGACAAATCGATAGCTTTAATGCCTCGTTCGTGTAACACGGGTTACACTTTATTGGCGACGACTGAATTTCATCGTTTCCCCGGGTACAAGACCGCGGAATCCATCGCGGAAGGAATAACCATGCGGAACGGTAACTTTTTCTCCATTTCTTCGTTTCTTTTTTTTTTTTCCCCTCCCTTCTCCATCTCGTTCGTCGGTGCTTCTTTGGTACAGGTCAACGTTCCTCGAGGTATTCTTCTAATTTGTTTTTTCCCCGATCACGTCGATCCGTCGTTTTGTATGGAAGTTCGTTTGCTTTTCTTTTTTTTCTTTCACATCGATATCATCGCGTCGCGGCTTAATCGGGAAGATCGACGAGGTTTATACGTGATTCGTCGACGACCATCGGGAAACGAGCGAGTTCGACATAATTTCCAGGCGAATTAACAATCACCGATCGATACCGGTAGTAGGATATTTTTCCGCTTGATGTAGAGTAAGGGGCGACGGGGGAGGGAGCGTACTATCGCGACCATTACACACGGAGCAATTAAAAGCGACGAGTGGAAATATTTTTTCACTGGTAGCTGCCGCAGCCACCGTTCCGACTCAATTCTCGACGCGCGTTCGCCCCTCGATTAAACACTCGTCGCCGAACGTTTCGCGAAACGTTTCATTATCAACCGGACGATTTTTCGGGAATAAGCAAGATCTCGATGGAGACTCGTGTCGCGTGGATCGATCGATCCGGAGCGGCTAATTGAGG